GCTATTATTATAATTGTTATGTCAAACAAACTCATCGATCCTTCTCGTAATATATTTCTGAGTGAAATATGTTATGAGATGTGCATAAAAATTTTTGAAAAAATCTTAAATTTTCTTTTTTAGATAATTTTTAGCAATGCTGGTATTTAGATATAGATAGTCATCTAGGTAGATAATAGATTTAGATATATATCTAGGTATAAAATATATAGATCATCTAATATCTTTATCTGAGTAATTATATAGTAATATACATTCTGGTCATCCAATATCTAATCTAAAGGAAAGATCGATCGTTCATCTGATATTTATATCCGATAAAATTTCACATAATATCTACTTATTTACATAATTACATAATTACTTAAAGATAAGATAACTATTATGAAGAATTAAAAACTTATGCCGTAATGTACAGAGTACACTCGTACTCGTTAGTAAATATTTTCGACTAAACGGATTCGTTTCTAGATAGTCATAAACGAGATATATTCTCATTTAAAGTAATTAACAAAATCATATAATACAGAATATCTGATGCATGACGATGCTTGTGTGCAAGTAGATTATACCGAACACAAAATTCCTCTATCATTTTGCAAATAACAACGTAAAATTATGAATTATTAATTAAAAGAAAACTGACGAATGATCATGCCCGATGCGATTCAAGATGTGACTCTAAGTGTGATTTCTGTTGTAAAAATGGTACATTAGATCAAATATTTCGCAAATAACCACGTAAACTTTTGAGTTATTAATCAAAAAAGTTCCACAGATAATCGCACGCAATTGTTCACAAATCTTCTTTAATTAATAATCTAATTTATGTACTTAATCTTGCATACTTAAACATACACGAACTTTGTCGTGTCTTGCATCCTGTATATCAAAATATTTTGCATAACAGTTCGAAAATCTATCGTTTTTTATTCTCTAATGTTTTACGTGCCAAAAATAAAAAAATTAAAATTCTCTAAACAAATATAAACCTAAACTAAATTGAATACTCTTATTTCTCCAAGAATAGAAACAATTTTAATATTTGTTATTAACATAAAAATACGCTAGAAAGAAAGAAAGAAAATAGTATGTTCCCCAAGTATTATAAAATTATATTTAGAAATAAGATATTATAAATAAATTATATTCCATAAGTAAGAGAAAAGTCATATCTTTCCCAAAATTGTTAGTCCTATATTCTGAATCCAATCACATTATCATATTATCACCTCTTGTCATCGCCACGGTTTCCTCACATTCTCGTTAGAGTGTATGTAGATGTTCGCGTGCACGCAAGAGAAGGATTAACAGAAGGGAATAAGATGTAGTCGTGGTAGTTAAGATATTTCTTCGAAACAGGGATTAAACGCGCGTCGTTACTACCGAAGCTCACTTTATTACCCATTTAAATTTACAACGAGAAGTATTTGCTATCAGAAATAAACAACATATATGTGTACGATAAGATACTAAGGAACGATTGACACTCTCTCCTAGCTATTTGCGCCAATGTGCGCTTTTATTTTCCAGTAGTAAATTTCGCCTTCCAATGCGAAGGCGTTTTATCTGTAATAGCCGACTCGAGAAGCAATGAAAGAGGAAAGCAACGAAACGAAAAGGCAATGAGAGGAAATGCTTTTCGCTAAGTTCGAGTCCTGAGATCTCATTGATAGCACCGAGCTATTTTCTTGCGCGTGTATTCGTGATTGAACCTATCTCCATCGGATGATTTCGACAAGGTGATAAAGCTCGTGGATAGTTAAAATCGGAACGGGATCTATGGCCGCTACGTCAACATATCGGGGACCGATAAAATAACGAGCCGTCGCTTTTATTTGTCCGACAAATTCCGCAGCTTGATTTACATACATAGTGCATCCGGGAGCGCGATATTCCTTGCGCACCTCGGGGACAATAGCAAGACGGACGCGCGCGGCAAGTTTTCATAGCGTCGTGTACTCCCGTGCCGTACATGTATGTGCGTGCATGCGTGCATGCGTGCGTACAGCAACAAGGAAGCCGATTAATTATATTTCGCTGAATTAACATACACGGTGCAAAGATTATATCGCGACGTCAAGGATGCGGCCGACACGTTTCGCACCCGACATCTCCGCTTAATTCAGCGTACATGACTCGATTACCAGCGCCTTCGTCGCCATCGATCACGGCTAAAAGCAGTCGCATATTGAAGCGACAAAGCGACAGGCGTTCGTGACATCTTGCTTGTCCGATATACGTCACTTGTGATTGCTCCTCCATAGAAAAGGAAACTCCATATCGCACGATGACATGAGCTACGAAAGCGACTGAGAGGTGGAAAGAGCACGATCGCGACGACGTCAAGATGCATCGGTACTCTTGTTTACGAGTTGTAACGTCGTAATTGTTCGCGTAAATTTTTTCAATTTTATAAATTGGGATATTTCTTGTGAAGAGCTACGTAGACACGTAGGAGTGAATACATATCGCGATGCGAAAACGACTGCATCGAGTCGATGATTCGACGCGTGGTTAAGAGAATATATTACCCATACCTAAAAAATAATAAAAAAAGTTGTGGGAAAAATTAGAGATTTATCTATATTGCAAATAAAAGTGGCATAAACAGTCTGACATTGATTTAGAGTTGAATAAGAAGTTATGCCACTTTGAAATGTGAATCTAGCGAACATGATGATGTCAAATGACATATTAATGACGTGCTATTGATGTTAGAGACGTCATTAATTAATTAATTCGTCATTAATATAACGTCATCCCATTACGTAGGAGTATTTTTACATAACAAAGAAAAAGATGATTAAATTATGAAAATTACAATTTTTGTACATATATATTTGAATATTCAAAATAATGTATGTAAAGTTTTAGTGTGATTCAGAGATAAAAGTTTGGAAGTCAGAAAAAACATAAAATAAAACAAATTAAATTAATTAAATAAAACAAAATGAACAGACTATCAAATGACTATAAAATGTGATGTTAAAATAATAAATATATTGTATCGTATTTTTGAACGAATTTTAAGATTATTTTTCCTCTTGCAAAATGTTATCCGAAGCTCAATTGCTGAACTATAAAAATAAATAGTTAGCCTGTCACAGGCCAGATACGGAAAGTAAGCAAGGGCGATACAATTCACCGTCAGATACAGACGTTGGGCAATACACATATGACAATATTCATACTTCTTAGCTTGAAAACTTTCGGTAGCAGACAAAATTCATAAAAAAAGAGGTGGTAACGTCTTTAGGATCCATAAATTCATTTCTGAAGATTAATATCATTGTTGGATGTTAGAAAAGTGTACAAAAGTGCAAAGTTGTGGCAGGTTAACTCTACACCTCTATATATTTTCCTAACGCTCAACAATAATATTAACTTTCAGAAATGAATTTATGGATCCTAGAGATTTTTGAACGTTGCCAACGTTATCCTTTCTTTTTTTATAGATTTTGCCCGCTTACCAAACTTTTAATGTCAATGTAATTGTGCACAATAGTAAATAAATTATTTTAATTTAATTGAATATAATTATAACATAACGTGTAAAATAATCGATTGCGTTCCCAATACGAATAACTTGTCGGTTTTTTCAAATGTTAAAATATCTTATGCTTTGTTCGATTACTGCTTCATTCTTCTCGTGCTTATTTTTAAAGTTTTTTGTACATGTTTATATTGCACTTAGGACAAGTTCGCGTGCGCGAACGCAATCGACTATTTCATCCTTGCACTTTATGTTATAATCATATTCAACTAAGTTAAAATAATTTATTTATTATTATGCACAATCATATTGACATTAAAAGTTTTCAAGTTAAGATGTATGAATATTGTCACATGTGTATTGCCCAACATCTGTGTCTGACGGTGAATTGTGCCGTCTTTGCTTACTTTTCGTATTTGGCCGTGAGAGGCTAACTATTTGTCTTTATAGTTCAGCAACTAAGGATAACATTTTACAAGAAGAAAAATTTCTAATGGCTTTTTGCAGGAACTAAAGAAAATCAGAATTATGAAATTTGTGATCAAGAAAAATTTAAATAATAATTACTTTTTGAAATTGTAATTAAATTCGAATATATTCATAATTCCAAAAAATATTTGCATTTAATCTTAATTTCAATTACAATTTCAAAAAGTACTTGTATTCGAATTCGATTTCAATTATAATTGCAATTACAATTTAAAAAAGTACTTAAAATTTAAACTCGATTTTAATTATATAATTATAAAGAAAATAGTAATTGAATAGGAATTCAATTATGAAACTATTTAATTACAACATTGTAGGAAATATTGTTTCAAGGATTCTGTAATCAGGGGAGACTGCAGCTAGTTGGCTACTAGGATAAGTTGACAAAATATTGTTCTTTAACAGATTTCACAATTAAGCAAGGATTTTAAAGCCATTTTTGAAATCCAGTTTAAAAATCTTGCTTGTTTAATTCTGTAATTTGTTAAAAAATAGAAATAACCAGTTTTGCCAATTTACTCCGGTAACAAACCTTAACTACCTAGTTTCCCCTACATGTTAAAAAAAATTTAAAGTACTAAGATTCTGTTGATTCTGTTTTATCGATAAAAGTGTCATGCAAAAAATCCCGCATGCGAACTACTATGACGTATATTTTCGCAAATGAGTAATCTTGACCACTCACGAAATTACATTTGGCCTTTGCATGTCCATTTACATAAATAAGACAAGTTTTATGGATGTGACATTGAACTATTAACTCTAATTCCGAAAGATACATCTCTGCACTTTTTATCTTGTCGTGCGGATTTTATGAAGAGAAAGAAAAACGCACATGCCAACAAAAGTTTTTTTTTATAATATCGTTGCGTAATATCATTGTCATCGATTATAATAAGTAGGTAGATAAGAGTTATATAAGAGCTAGATATGATTCGTACTGTGATATCGTATAAAAATTCGGCACACCGGGACACGTTCTCTCATCTTTCTGTCTCTTCCCATTCGGATTTGTTGTGTAAGTGCTGTGAATTAGTTACATATTTCGAGTAGATTTCTGAGATGACATTTGCTTTCTTCACTACTGCACCAGGACTCGACAGTCGAGTTGCCGTGTGAAATGCTCTGTCTCAGGAACGTCTTTATGTAAGTAATATGCTGGAATCATACCCTTTGTCAAAATATCATTAAAACAACATTTCCTTGTTTAATAATTCTTATTTTCATAAATAAAATTTTAAAATAAAATTAAATACTATATTTTCTACTTGTAATGTATCATATATATATATATAAATATATATTATACATATATATATATATATATATATATATATATATATATATAATATATATATAATATATACTAATAACAATTATATTAAAACTCTTAATTATTGTCACTACTACATTATTATATTGAACAGATATATATATATATATATATATATATATATATATATATATATATATATATATATATATTTAAAATATGTTACAAATAGAAAATGTATAGTATTTAATTATTTATGAAAATAAGAATTATTGAGTGAGGAAAATATTTTAACGACGATTTGATGGAAGGTTCGATCCCAGCATATTTTTCATATGCATATTTTTCATGTAATAACGTTCTTGAGACATTGTCTCATCCGCGATAGGCAACTCGGTCATAGAGCAGCAGTGAGAAGATAATAGTCTTCGACATCTACTCGAGATGAACAATCAATTTCCAGCACTGCGTTATGTGATTGGTCAATAAGCAGTCACTTAAATACGATAAAACATGCTGAACAACATTCGAACTATCGCGCGTTCTGCTCTGGCAGTCATGAAGAACAGTCGAGTCGACGTGCACGTACGGCAAGGAAGGCTACAGGGAATTGTCGAGGAGAATGTCCATGGAGGCTACTACACCGCATTCCGTGGGATACCGTACGCGCAACCTCCGGTCGGCGACCTTAGATTTCGCGTGAGTAACAATATACAACGTATATTCCGTTGCGCAATTGATCTGAGCAATGTTTAAGCTGCACTCGAAGTATTCAGAAGCAACAAAGCATGACGAGACGCGACATAAAGCTGTGTCATCATTTTATATAACGCTCAATAACATTGCGCTTGGGAGAGATATATATTATTTACTGCAAAGAAGAGATTTTTTTGTCGAGATGAAAATTTAGTACACCGGACCAAAATTTGATTAGAAACTTGGTAAATGTTTAGTAATTATAAGTAAAAAATTTAATTGTCACGCTTGTGTGTTTTGCTTTCTCACTAATACATCCTACTTGACACAAGTAATAAATGATAGTGCCAATCAAATCGTATGTACTAAATATTTTAATTTGAAAAGTACACTTCTCTGACAGAACAACGTGTGTTACGAAACACGATGTGTAGAAAATGATTGTTAAGATCTCGCGCTAACCTAACTGCTCTCTTGCACGCTCTTACCATTCTTCTTTTTCAATATCACAATTTCTTGTAGTTGATTGTGAAATATCATGTGTTTCCGTGCTCAAATTGACATGCCTACTCTGATATTTTGTTTTGGTTTTATATGACGTGTCACATATATCTTGTATAATCATGAATTACTAGCGATGATTTTAGACGTCTATCTATAGCGCCGCCAGAATCAAACAACGGCCATTGTCCCAACTATCATCATATTTTTATTCCTGTTTTACCTACTGAAAAGTTGTTTGTGATTATAAATTGTAATATCATTATAATATAAGAGAAGTGTACTTTTTAACACTATTTATCAGTGAAATAATTTTAAATTGTCATAGAAATATCTGCAATTTATTTATAAAAAGTTTTACAAACATTAGACTATTTCGATTGCAATTTAAAGGTTTTGGAAAAGTCTATATGTAATGTTAAAAAAACCAACTATTTGAGTAATATATTTGTCATATAATATTATATTTTTTAGATTTTCAGGAAAATTGTGCCCAAAAAGGACATTTTAAAATGCAACCTTAATAATATGCTATTCTATTCTTTCTTTATTAGTAACGATAACTATATAGAATGTAACTTCATTACTTTTTTCGTTATTTTCATTGTTACTTTGCACATATAGAATCCATCTACGCAAGATATGTGTGTGTATGTGTGTGAGAATCGTAAGAAAAGTTTTCAAAACTTGGTAAAGGAAGTATACATAAAACGCAATATTCTCTTCGTGTAATGGTTGGTATGTTTTAAGTAACGGTAACGTGAGTTACTTTTCGATAAATAAATAATGGTGTCGAGTCATGTTTACAAAGTAACTTTTCTGTTTAATAATGTTTTGAACTTTTCATAAGAATCTCTTATAAGATGAAATCTTCGTATCGGTTTGTTTGTAAAGTTCAACTAGACAGAATACAACCTGAACAAACAATAAACAAAAGTCAATATTTCCAACGCAGTTGTACATTTCGCTATTCGCTTCTCTCCCCGTAATTTATGTAAATCGTGGCTTGCGTAAACACCGACGATTTTGTATGTGCATGCGTGTATGTCTGTGCATACGTAACTGTTCGTCCATGAATGAATTTGTGAAAATTAAAATGCAAAAGGTACTTAAAATACATTGTCAATTCAGTTACAAAAATTTAATAAAAATGAAATTTTTAATGATTGAATTAATCGACACGTGTACTTGGAGTCAATTCATTATGCGTCGTAGCTTCTATTGTAATAAATATATCTAGTCTTCTTATCTAAAAACTTGTTTAATACGTCGGGATTATTGTCAATCGCAGATAAGGATCAAAATACTGTGTCTACGTGATGGTGAAAAATGTTTTAAATAATCTTATAAAATAGAGTGTGTGTGTGTCACAGCCTTAATTTTCAGTTTATTAAAATTTTCTTAAGAAAAAAGAAATAAGAGAGAAAGAGAGAGAGAGCTCCTTTTATTCTGAATCCATGCATATTCCCTATCTATCACGGCCAAATCCCTATGGCAATTAAGACCAAATCCCTATGGTAATTTGGAAATAAAAATCCTAAGACAAAAATGTCGAAGCTATAATAGCTTTTAAAATATAAACAATTAAAATTGATCATATTTGCATTGCATATTCTTTGCACGGTCAACCACGTAATATCACGTGTACGCGAGTATCGATCGCTCATCTGTTACTGACAGCTCAGCTGCTATCGATGTTTTACTGCTCAACTGATTTTTTCTCTAGCTTACGTGTAAATAATGCATATACTATAACAATCAACTGATATTGACAAGCCAATTATTATTATCGACATTTAATTATCACAGTCAAATAATCCGATCCTTTTTTTTAACGAAAACAACTTTCTTTTAGCAAAACTATTTTGAAACATAATACACATTGATATTAATAGTCGAGAAACAAAGTAGATGTGTGTTAATAGAGAGAATGGAGCTTTTAAAAAAAATTTCTTTTAATTAATTGCCGAGCACTTCTAGAATCCGTGAATATGATTATGCATATATGGATTTTTATCACTTTAAATATGAAATGTCAAGAGAAACCCATTGAACGACACTGATATTTATACAGGTGCACCAATGTATCTTCAAAAAATGCGATGGAATTTTAATATTTCTGTATCTTCTCTTTTGTTTTTTACATCAATACGTTTCTCTCATTGTTACATATATGGAATGATGATCTAAAGTTTTCTCATATCTCTAACAGCTACCAAGACAAACGGGATGAAACCTTGAGGGATAGTTTTATCCCTTCCCTCCCCCTTACAAACTTCCACTAAGCTAATAAAAAGATACGTATCCCTTAATCCTGGTTATTCTACAAGCACGTTAAGTTTTGTTAAGAATTGGAGGGGAGTTCTAACATCGCGAATGTTCTCTGTTATAATAAGCATCGCGATTCAAGTCCAAGATCTACGACTCAATTAAAAAATAATTTGCATATTTAGGATCCTCAGCCAGCGCAAACATGGGCCGGTGTACGGGACGCCTCGAAATTCGGAGATGTCTCTCTGCAGGTGGACATGTTCACGCGTCAGGTAGTTGGCTCCGAGGACTGCCTTTACCTGAACGTGTACACCTCGGACGTCGAGCCGAAGAACAAACGCGCCGTGATGGTGTGGCTGTACGGCGGCAGCTATACTAATGGTTCCGGCGATGATTTCATCTACGGCCCCGATCATATCGTCCGGAAAGACGTAGTGCTGGTTACACTGAATTACCGAGTAGGCGCATTTGGTAGGTGGTGCCACGATCGTGACTATGTGCAGTCGTTGCACATCATTCGCGTTTGTGTATCTCTGTTTTTTTAAATGTATTTTTTGTCACTTCCTGTACAAGATAAACGACAACGTGGCATGTGTGTGCGCGGAGCGATTGTTTGTAGGAAAAATCTAAAATTTGGAATGATTTTGTTTGGCGCAAGGTTAGTTAGTTTTCGAGAGGGTCAATCGAGTTGTTTCATGACGTATGCGCGTAATATACGACGTATGCGTGGATATACGACGTTCAAGTTTGAACACGAGATAATTACTTGAAATTTTAAGAAAGTATGTTTAATATAATTTCCGAGATTTTCGACTCAGTGAGTTTGTATTAAATTCTTGTAAAATAACAGTAAAAGACGAAATATGTGAAGTAATATTACAGAAGCTTGCTTTAGCAAAGTCTGACGTGGGTAAAAACCTGAACATATAACATATCTCACTCAAATATACGAGTGTCAAAGAGCGAAAGAAAAGAAGGAAAAGAGAGAGAAAAAAAGAAGACGCTCGCGCTGTGAGCGCCTACACTCCATTTTCGTTTCAGGAAAGCTTGAAATTAGAATGACGAAGTTACATGGTATTTGCATATAATTTTTCAGTTTTTACTTTGGACTTCGCTTCCTAAGCGGAACACATTAAAAGCAGCTTTGAAAAATAACAGCGTTTGCTTCATTGCCATGGCACCAACGTAGCGGCAAAATATTACCGTGTTAACAGAATTTGGGTTAAGGTCAAAGCAAATGCTATCTTTATATAAGCGACTCACGTATAGAAATTCGAGATCGAACGGAGCAATTTCAAAAATCCACAAGATATTGCTATTACTTTCAACAGTCGTATCGTGCGCGATGTTGTCGAAGATCGTTACGGTTTCTGTTCGATTAAATTAGCTTCTGCGACCTAATTAGCTTTTGTCACCTGGCTCAACTTGCCCAGACAACATAATGTCTAAAATCGGGACATAAGACGTCTTAAAGATCATCTTTAAAACGCCTTAAAGACATTTATACGTAAATCGTCTGAAAGATATCTTAAAGATGATCTTTAAGTCCCGTCCCGATTTTTACGTTTTATGTCCCGATTTTAGACATTATGTTGTCTGGGTGGTTAATCAGTGCGACAATTTTATCGTGCTAAGTGTCCTATTAACGTCGATCGTTGAATCATAAATAGCTAATGAAATTTCACAGCGGATATGAGTCACTTACAAATAATACAGGACAAACATTGCTTTCTTTTGCCACAGCAAATACTTAAAAAATCTTGACTGTAGACAATGGAATATTTGCATATTTATAATTTTTTATCTAATCTTTTTACTGATAACAAATGTTCAAGGTGTTACATCAATATATTGGTCAGCATGACAGGTTGCTTATTCACTTCGCTGGCAAGCGAAGTGCGTGCCTGGACATAGCTCGAACCTGACGATATACTCGTCCGCTAAACGAGATTATGCTTATTTTTGTCATCAAAAGAAATATGGAAAAGTGTTGCGAAAGTTGAAAGAAATATGGAAAAGTTGCAAATCGTTTTATCTATCATACTGATATCATAATGTAACAATAAACAGATAGTGTTACGAAACGTCCGCCTTATTTATAGGAAGCACGCGAGTTTGGAAAAACTATCATTAAGTCTCACTTCGAATAAGTTAATCGCTCGATTTTACGCAGTTTCGTCCGCGCGAGTCAAGTCAACTTTGTCAAGCAAAGTTACACTTTTTCAGGTTTCCTGAATCTAGGAAATGACGTGGCAGGAGGCAATCAAGGTCTGAAGGATGCAATCATGGCATTACGATGGGTTCACGATAATATATCGAACTTTGGTGGAGATCCAGAAAATATCACTCTCTTTGGTGAAAGCGCCGGTGCAGCTATAGCGCATTACTTAACCATGAGTCCGTTGGCTGACGGTATATGTCACAGATTTATCGATACGTACACACAAATATACACACACACAGAGCTAGTCACTAAATCACCAGATGTGCTTTTAACCGCAGATTCGACGGAGTCGATTTTCCTTCAACAAAAACATCGAGGCGCTAATAGCTTCTGCTACTTCGAGTACCTCGATAGTGATGCTTTCACTATATTGGAGTGTTATTAGCGCTTCAAATGTTTTACGTTCTTTTATATCTTTTTTTTTCGCTTTTTTTCCTCATTCGTGTATTACATTCTTAAAAGACGTGTCCTATAAATGCCAATAGAAGCTCTTATCTGCCTGGCAAGTACAGAGCGTTCTTTTATGATTGAATTAATCACGAAAGACGGTGATGTACTCTAAATGTATCTTTTTCATCTTTTCGAAATATTTTTAACAGCATTAGTTTCACTTGTTATAATAAGAAAGAAGAAAAGAGGAATTTTAATAATAAGAAATATATATGTAAAAGATTAAAAGGTCGATCTGGCAGTGAAAAAACAGGGGAACGATTCAGGCCGAAAATATTTGAAATTTGTCATTGTTAACATTTGCTGTAAATTATTATTCTCCCGCGGACTTAAACATACGCGAATCAGGTTGTTATCAGTACATTATTTATGCGCGAATAAATAGCACACATGAAAGTATTCCTTACAACTAAAAGCATTTTTTAGCAGAAAATAAGAATAATATTTTTCCTTAATATTCTTTTCCACTGACGGAAAGTCGACTCTGACTTGGTCAAGGAGTCTCATTAAGAGACCTATTAGTTCTAAGAAAACTTGTACATCGTTAAAATGAAAGTAATAAGGGGAAATAAATTTCATGGAAACAGTATTGAACTACTTTGAATGCTTGTTATAAAGGCGCGCTCTTTTTGCAGGTTTGTATCATAAAATGATCATACAAAGCGGGTCAATGTTGTGCCCATGGGCTTTGGCCGTTCCGGAATGGCAGAAAGCTTTACAACTCGTCGAGAAACTCGGAAAACGGACCACAGATCTGAAAGAGGCGGGCGAGTTTCTCAAAACGGCCGACGCGAATAAAATCATCGACGCTTCACAGACGCTCTTGTCCAGCCACGTAAGTATCATTATCTCGCCGCGGAAAAACAATGCAAATTCAATAAATGAAACAGTCAGTATACAAGTAAAATGTATCGATAAAAAAAGAACAAAGAAACAGTTATCAGCGACACTTTCTCTCGTAGGAAAACCGACTGTTCGTAGTCGCGTTTGCCCCAGATGTGGACTTGAAGTCACCGAATCCATACTTCTCGGAAGACCCGATCGTGGTGGCGCGCCGCGGAATTAAAGTGCCGCTCCTGCTTGGTTATACAAACAGCGAAGGGATTTTCTTCACACGCAGTGAGTCACACTTCAACATAAATAAGACGGATATATGCCTCAAAGTGCTTCGGTGCACGCAAACTGTGTCGCATGATGTTGTTAGTTGAGAATAACAAGTGTAGTTAGACGACACTGTGGGCGTTACTGTGGGTGACACGTTATGGTGCTGACATTAAAAGAAGTTTCTTATGGATCACGTCGAAGTTACATTGAGAGTAACGTTGTATGACAAATTGAGAATTGGCGATAGGTCGCCACCAAAAATTATTCTTTAACAGCAATATTTCTGAAATATTGTTGAATCTATGTTAGACATAGTGATTAATAATATAACCACATTATTGAAATCATTTCAGGCTTGAGCGATAGAGCTATTCAAATAGTCAATTCCAATTTCGAGAATACCGTACCTATAAGAGTTATGGCTGACTTAAGGAAGAAATCGATGACGGCTGATGATGTACGATATTTATATTTCGGTGACAAACCGCTGTCGAAGGAAACTTTAAGCCATTACGCTGATTATATCACCGACTTGCTCTTTCATCGTCCCATTCAGGAATTAGCTAATATACAAATGCAGATGGGACACAGACCGACATACATGTATAAATTCTCATATGACAATAGAGCTTCCTTTTTGAAAAAAGCGATGAACATTACTCTCCCAGGTACCGTAACTTATTCATTTAAGTTCATGCAAGGACTTTTAATCACGAAACAACAAAAGCACATTTATAATAATTAACATTTATATTAATATAAACATTTATATTAATATAAACATTTATATTAATATAAACATTTATATTAATATAAATACATAACAGTACTTTGAATTTTACGTAACTATGAGGGAAATGGGCCAGAGAGTGATTTTGCGAGTATTATTAAAGAAGGAACTAAATTATGATACTTGGTACTTAGACACTTAGAAATATAATAAAAGAAAAAAAAGTGCAATTAATAGAATTTTATAGATTTAAAATGCAAATTGTGTCACTTTGCGTATTTAAAATTAATCTGCATGGTTTTATATTTTACAGGAGTGGCTCATACCGAAGAGTTGTTTTATTTATTTTATCCTTACGTAATGAAACAGTTAGGTATGCAACTCCCTGCATCCAATTCGGAAGAATATAAGGTAACAGATCGCTTCACGCAGATGTGGACGGATTTTGCCAAAACAGGGTATCGTAAATTTTATACTTTCCTGGAATTTTACAAGAATTTTATACGAGTCTCACACTAATAAGTGATTTTCAAGGAACCCAACACCTGCTGTTACGGATTTGATCCCGACTAAATGGACACCATTAAAACCAGGAAACGTGTACGACTATTTAAACATCGATAAAGAACTGCAGATGAAAACTGCCTATAAAGGAGAGCAACGTTGCGACTGGGAGAAGATAAGAAACAAGCTTTAAGACCCTCTATTCATCAGAATTTTACTAGTAAAAACAAATTTTTTTAGCACATGGAATGATCAATATAAAAAACAACAATACGAGATAACATATTTCAAATTCTATTTTTTGTAGTAACTTTAAATTAATATTACGCTATTTATGACAGAATCGGTGTAATTTATAAAAATTAATAGAACCGTGTATAGTTCTAATTAATAGACGATTATAATCATAAACCGGTATATTTGCTCAATGTAATAAATTTTTTCAAAATTATTAAATTTGATATGTTCTGATTTTGTTGTTTACTTTCCATGTAATCAGCATATTAACTACTCTTTTACTTTTTTATACCAATTATATTTCGTATATTGACAAGTGCAAAAATAGCTATGGTATGATATAGTATGATATGGTATAACATACAGAAAACATATAAATATGTAATTACAAAAGCGTTTAATGCGTTGTCAGAAAAAATTCTATTTCAATTTTTTATCCAGTAACGGGATTCTATAACTCGTTATTAGAGTTAACGACATCATTATCGTTGCGCAACTTTTCTATGGTGTACAAAAGTTGTGCAACGATAACGAAACTGTTGTTAACTCCAATAACGAGTTACAGAACCCCAGCACAGATCTCAATTTTAGAGGATATTTTCCTGAAGAGAAAGTTGACTATCGATATCATGAAGATGTCATTTTATCATTTTAATACAGATTTTCGGATACTTGTATGTATTAAAAACTAGATGAAAAAAGAAATAACCATAAGTTAAATACTACTTGACACTTTGGATTAATTTAATACCACAGATTCATACAGCCCTGAGGATGAAACAACAAGCGTTGCGTTCCGACTGCCAGTACTGAAAATCTATAGTATGCGTAACATAAACTATAGATATTCAGTGCCGGCACGGAATGTATTCAAGGATGGACGATAAGTTAGAATCACAGACATGATAAAAGGATAGACTGAGTTTGTCCAAAACTTTAGCAGAGGAGATCAAGCAAAAAGAGACTGAAAAGACTGAAAAGATAGAAATAGATAGGAGATGAAGGCCGTATATTTCTTTCTGTCCGATTCGCGTGATAGCAGATACAGAGTTCGTCTTTCGTCTCTTTTTATGTATATCTTCTATATATCTTCTATATATCTTCTATGTATAACTTCTATATATCTTATAGGTCTCGCACATACTTGGTCTTATGCTTGATCTATTTTTATTATATCAGTTATGATTCTTGTGCACATATTAGGAGTAAGAATAAATATTAAGTATTCGGAATATGAAAATGAGGGGAGATATGATGAGGATTATTTTATTTAGGACAAAATAACCATAGATTAGGAGCCAGCCCAAACAGCACACGATATCCCATGAACGTTCTGTGGATGTCCGTAGGACATCGGGACGTCCTCAGGACATCCTCAGGACATTCCGAGGAGATTTGTGCTGTCTGGGAGTAGACCAATTATCTAATTTTATAATGACTATGTCGCTAGTATGTTGCGCAGTTCTTTTTGTTTTAGGGCAGTATTTATAATCCAATTTTGCATTTGTATAAGATCGTTTTAAGTTTATTTTAAAATATTGTAACAACCGCTTTTCATTGGCTACCTAACAACTTAAGATAAAATTAAAAAATGATCTTATAAATATCAACTATAATTATATATGAATACTGTCCTTAGAAATGTTTTATTACATCTGTCACATTTTAAACGCAACAGATATAAATTTGAACTTTTTGAGAAAGAAAGAGAGAGTGAGAAGGATTGAGGAGAGGAATAAGTAAATGCGCAGATGTACAACAAAGTGTAGAAAGTGTAGGAACTAACAGACCTGCCACCGCCTTGACTATTACGTGATCGAAAATTCGAGACAGCGCATGCGTCGCAAAACACGTCACGCGGCCGGTTTACTCATGTTTGCACGCTCCTTCGGCAAGTCGCGACGCTCGGTCGCCGTGAGTGTGAATCATCCTGCTCGAAGCGAACAACGTAGAGGTTACGTATCGGAAGTTCACTTGTGAGATATTGCGCAATTCGATCTGGACTCGCCGATCAGAGGTATTTAGTAAGCGTCATATAAGCAGATATATGCGGTATACGGTACCCGGTGCATGCCTGACGGTTGGGAACAGTCAACACAACCACACGCACGCACGCGTATATATACACGGCTAGCCGCACGTGTGCACACGTGGCAACAGCTGTCTTCATGCGGCCGATCGGAGCCTTTCTTTTGTCATCTCGCTCGCGTTATTAAGCGAGTCGCGCGCTTCCTACTCAAACGTCAAAATTCGCAGTGAAAATTTTCACGTTGTACTTCTCCCGGCAAAAACGTTGTCTCGTTCCGATCGATTCGTCAAGAGTGTTGATCCCCCGAACAATAGGACCTTGAACCAAACAGCGACCAAAACAGAGTTTTTTTCCTTACAGATTCGCGAGAACAGTCACGGTTCGTTTCTAGTCAACGTCTTTTTCGAAAACTCAAGAACGAAAACTGGGATCTAAGTGTGAATCAGTCAAAATTCAGTCGCGGATATTTACAGGCTATTGATATTTATCGGCGGCTGACACGATGATTGCGACGCCATATCTGAATGCGATTCAAAAGATACCGGGCGACACCGCCAGCGAAAAATTGAAATGGCTCGGGAAATTGAGCCAGAATGAACGGGAGGATCGACAGAAGGCCAGCGGAGATATCGATCGGATGCCGTCGGAGTTGCAGCCGATACTGCGTGTGGAGGCCGCCGTCCGGAAGAAGATACACAAGGACATAACATCGGCTTTGAAGTCCGATGACGTGACGATCGTGCGACGCGCTCTCCAGGCCTCCTGGTTCTTCGATGGCAGCCACAAGGACGTCATAGACGTCGAATACTTCCGCGAGCAGATCTTCCCATACGTCTCCGTGAATACGAGACTACATATTATAAAAACATTCACCCTTAGGCTGAAGGACACGCAGTTCGCGCAGCAGATGTTCATGGAAATAGAGAACATTTATGGCATTCAGTATGCCTTGCCGTTGATCGTGGTGTGCGACGAGGAGTTCGCTTATCGCACGATCGTGAACAAGAAGATCCGTCTGCCGTTGACGATCGCCAAGAAAATTTTTCGCAGGAACATAGACTTCATAGTGCGTTATCTGAGATTGTCCGATCCCTCTGAGAAAAATTTTTTCCAGATCAACATACAGGACTACGCAGTTTTTTTGCCGACATTGATAAAGAAACGGCTGGCCGCCTTTGTGGAGCTCTACGAAATGCACGAGAAGAATCCACCGGAATTTCGACTGAGCAACACGTGCGTCGACGTGTTCCTGAAAAAGGGCATTGACTACCTAATGAGAAAGCCGTTGTTGTACATCAAAATCTTACCGATCAAGAAGATCCATGCGACAATAATGAAGAAGCTATTCCCGGCTTTGATGCCGGAAAACGTGGAGCTCTACGATGTGAACAAAGCGATGGAATATTTAGAATATTATCCGAAGGCTGAGAAGTTCGATTTTCTGTGTAAAACTTACAGGGACAAGTACGGCGTCGAATTTCTCGCTAAGCAAGCGAACGTGACACCAAACGTGCTGTTACTGGCGCCCGTCGAGGAACGTGTCAAGCAGGCCAGGGTCATGATCAAAACGGAACTAGAGAATGCGGATACGACGGGCGGCGACGACAATGACATGGTTTTCATGATTTGGTTCTGTTATCTGCCTGCCGCGGAATCAATACCGTTAATAAAACGTGCGATACACAAAGCGACAACGCCGGACAACAGGATCACCTTGCTGTGGCAGATGATTACCACGTGCAAGGTGAACAACGATGAGAAAGCGTTGCTTGACTTTATGACGTATTTCCTAAACAGACATAAAAACGAGGAGGAGTGGGTGTTCGATCGAACGATGGATAAAATTGCTTCTCTTTATGACGTTGCTTACTTCAGCAAGAAGATCTGGTCCGCTTTGAACGAAATCATTACTCTGTTTTACGTGAAATACGGCTGGGTGACGGAAAAAGTTCTCTTGGCTCTGATTCATAACAAACTTCTTCACAAAATACCGATCGCGGAGCAGATCGAGATTCTCATAGAAACGCAATTGAAGAAAACCTACGTGAACTTCGAATGTTTGCTCCGAGAACATCCACACTACAATAGGCAGTGCCTCATCGTTTGCGCAGAAGTTCTGAAGCAGAAGAATAATGTCGTACGATGGAAAGCGAAGGAAGATGTACTGGTGTTCAATCTCGTCAAGGCGATGTACTATTTTAACGAGAGATACGACAAGAAGAAAAACAAATCGTCCACAGAGATCAAGCGTATCACGATTCAGGACTATCCTTGGCTGCAGCGTATTCTGTATCAAGATGTGATCCAAAAGAGTCATTATTATAGTAATGTTATAAGCAACTTGTTCCGCAAGTATGAGCCGGACTTGTACCGCTCTTGGTTCGAGGAGAAACCGGAGTTTCGTAAAGAATATGTGAGAAAGGGCGCGGTGATCAAATCGTTGAAGCAGGATCTGCGAAAGATATTAGTTAATTGGAAGGAATATTTGGAAATTTGCAAAACTTATAGCTACAAAAAAAGCGTGCATCGTTTCATCAGAGCGACGCGTTGGTACAAGGACCTACCTATCTTTTTCGTGCGGCATTGCCAAGAAAATTGGCGACAGAAGAAAGACTGCAATTACTTGGTCATCATGGCATTACTGCTTCGTGGCGACACGATGGCGAAGATAATAGAACCTCTGATACCTATGGAAACGAAAGTGAACACCGTCTACAAGGGTGCTAGGGACAACTACACTCTCGTGAGTACTTTACCGTTGGTCATGAAAGTTTCCAATCCGCCGGTACCTCTCGAGCTCATAGCCAGATTATGCGAAGGGGATTATCTATCGGTGGCGTTAATGGCGCTGACGTGCGCGTGCAGGCGACTCCCTTTACTCCAGGTGATGTCGTTCGCGGAAAATCTCGCGGATAAACGTGTCAGCGTCACGAAGCATGGCATTCGAATGATGTACCTGGTAGCACCCATACACCAACTTCAACATTTCCTTCAATCTTGGTGGCAAAAAAAGCAGCATCACTCGATACGGGCTGTTTTGCTCAAAAGCACCCAGGATCTGTTCTTTAAGAATCCAAATGAGCAGAGTTGGTCCTCGTACAAATGTCTGATATCGACGATGAGTGTCACGGACGACTTGTTGTTCTCCGAATTGAATCTGAGTAGCGTGCCCACCGAATACTCCGTGGATTATAATGAACTGATGTTCGACGTGATACACAAACTGTTGGCGAAAGGTCTACCTATCAGCAAAGTGCTTCGATGCATTGTCACTTTATTACAGACGATCACCGAGCAGACCTGCGATAATCTGAAGGACAGTTTCATCAAGATGTTACTGGAGACATATCTATTTAATCAAAACGAGGAATTATCGATGGCGGCGATAAACTTCACTGTATCTCCGTACCTGTTAACAGCCAAAGGGATGTACTATACGCGCATGGACACATTTTCCGAAATCTTGAAGAAGGAAGTGAAGGAAGGCTGGGACAAGAGCCATCCGAAGAAAAGTGGCTTGTATCCGGTCAACTACAGCGTCCACACTTTCATCGACAATTTCGTGAGTGAAGCTCTCGCTAAAGAGAGGCAAGTCAATCCGGATGTTATCGCCAAAATGCTGGAGACATTTTCATCCGTCCTAACACCTCAAATGGAGCCGCGATCTTATTTGCTGTTGGTGTACGCACACGAATGGGCGAAGAGCATGTCACCTAAACAGTTCGGCTTGCAACTCGGTACGAGAATACACGACTTGATCAATATATTTTCGCCGATGTTCGTATCTTTCATGAGCAAAACTCTCAAGGACTTGCTGAACAACATATTCCATGAAAAGCTGCAGAAGCCCGAAGTCATGCATAACTTTGTGGAAGGTCTCATTGAGGCCGGCAACATGGAATCCTATTTTATAGCTACGGATTTCTTATTAGAGAATATGCCATCTCGCAACCCGGAACATCATACACTTGTCAAGAAGCTCAAGGATATGAATCACGCTGGTATCACGAGTCTTTTAAATGATAGGAAAAATCAAATATTTTACAGTCAAGTCGAGTTTGATGTTAGCAAAATAGAGTAAACGCTGCAGGCGCAAAGAATAAGTCTGTAGTAAGTTCTACTCATGCATTCCGATAAAGTAGCATTTGATGACGTGGCATTTGATAATATGATTATTCGAGATGATGAGCAATTTCTCGTTATATAATTAACGACTTCATTGCAGATGTAAATGTACTATTGCACCAGATACATTATTTGCATACGAGTTTTTTTCACTTCTACCTATCCGACATGGTCATTGAGTTCTCGTTGAAATGACCGCTTATTCTTTTTATTTCGATAGATAGGTACATAGCTGAGACGTTTAATAGACGCTCTGTTAGTGGTCTTTCGGAAGTGCGGCAATAAAAGCTCATGGTTAACGACTCGAGACAGATGAAACTTCTCGCGTTATGTTTAAGTTTTCAGATGTTTACCGCTTGTACAGAAACCGATAAACATGATAGTAAAACGTTGATAATATAATAAAACTTTTCTAAGTATCTCAGACGGATACGATGTGGCATAGCATGCATCTCGTTCTCTTTCTTTCTCAGTTTTTTTTCTTCTTTCTGTGTCATGCTTGATACAATATACACGAAATAAACTGATGCATTCTTTGCGACACGTAAAGCTTTCTTTTTTATTGAATAATCCAACGTACCATAGAAATTTTTCCTCAAACAAGCGAAAAAAATTTAGTAACAATTATCAAACCTGGATAATAATTGCTAGATGCTTGCAGAAAAATAGTTTTAACTAAAAACACATGGGTAAGTAGACATATAATCAAATAATTTGGTAAGTATTAATAAAAACGTTAACTTGATATCTGTCGCTAAAATTTGATGACTATTATCAATTTATGTGATATATATCACCGAAAAATTTGTTAAGATTATATTATACCTTGTGATACTTATATATTATGATAAATGACCAAATATTTTGGTAACAATCAAACTGCTTGATAATTATTGCGAAATTATTTGATATTATTTATCAGATCATTTAATTAGTACAAAATGAATTTATTTTACTAATTATTTTGTAATTATTACTATGGTTGATAACTACTACCGTATTTGATACTAATTAAATATTGCACTGAAACGCTCAACCAAATGCATTTGTTAACTTAAAAAACTTCAATATAAAGAAGAAAGATTGCGTAAAATCCTGTTTTATTTTCGAAACAACCGCAAATTTTCAACGCAAGCGCTCGGCAATCGTCTATTAATATATTTTTAGAGAGAGAGAGGCGGAGCTACCATAATACACTAATCCCCAACGATCATCTTCACGTAAAGATGTTCCTAACAGAGTGATTCAGTTGGTGTTGATCGAGATTTCGAGAGACAGTGGCAAGTGAGAAAAATCCTCCCGTTCGTCGAGGTACGACCTTGAAAAGTTCTTTGAAACCGAAGAGTGCGAATGACGGTCGCGTTCTTGTGTTAGCGTCACCGTAAATAACGCGGTCGTGTGTTAACGCGAACCAGAGTGCTAAACATATCCGCTGATATATCGGCGCGCGTACGAGCGAAATTCTCTGTCGCGAATTTTCTCGTGAATTATTATAGATCGAATGATACGGGAACTCCAAAGGTCAAGTGGAGATACCGCCCAATAATATTGGATCGATGTCAGTAAGTGAGGGATTTTCCGATGATATAATATTATGACGAAACTAATTATTAATAACTATAATTATTAATTATTACGAAATCACAGGGAAAGTATTTTGGGCCAATCATAATGGTTTAATAACACCCGGAAAAAGGAGATCTAGAAATGTGAGATAGCAGAGATTTAAGTCAGAATAGAAAACTTGACTCTTTTGAGAGGAAAATTGTCTTTTTGTGAAAAAAAATAATTCACATGTTATTCTTAAGATTTCTAGATATCGATCGCCACGATTTTCTTTATTTATGACATTAGAATTGAGAAAACGTGGTCAAAATTCTTACAAAATATGTAGAAATAAAAGAATAAGGAGATGGTAACCAATTTCTGGACACGTACCTGATTCTAGACATTCTTATTGTTTTGACTTTTAAATATGAATATTTAAAATCTTAACATATAGAATGTATGTATATATTTAATATATGTATGTGTATATATACATATATTTCTTTAATGTTAAAAGTTTAAATATTCGTATATAAAGACTAAATTTGACCAAAACGAAACAATAAAAATGTTCAGGATTAAGGTACGCGTCCCCGGCCATTAGTAATTTTATAACCAATAGATAAACGCAAAATTAACGTAACAAAATCATGATTAAAAATAGGCTAAGAAAGAAGAGGTCACATCTATTTTACGATTACTGTTCGTTAGAACAAAATGAAAAATTGCAAGTGTCATATAATTTTTTCATTTCTACATATTTCGCAGGAATTTTGAGCGTATGTATTCTCTCGCTTTTGATGTCATCAATCAAGAATTCTACGGCGAGTTTATACCTAGAGCCTTAAACAATAATTTCTACGACCATTTCGAATAAAAACCAGACCGGTGAGAGCATAGCAACCATTAATTTGATCATGCCGATATAGGCGTGTTTACATGGAGAAAAATAATTTGATGGTCCAGCAAATGTTCTGCTGGTCTAGTAAAATTTTTTCGTTATTATGTGGACAGCAAAAAGATTTGCTAATCATTTGCTGGATATAATTTGCTGAATCTACAAATTATTTTGCTATAAGAACCATGATGAATTTATATAAGCAGTTGTAGTTTTGCTCCGATAGCAAATAAGTTTGCTAAGGATACATTATTTTGCATCAATAGCAAAATGTGATTCTTAAGACAAATACACTCAACAAATTTTTTCTATTCTGGCAACGAAACTATTTCTGCTCTGATAACGAATAATTTGTAAAATTAGTTACGTCAACTAAATTTTTTTTATGTCACTACGAATATGCAGTAGCAACGACGATTTTGTTAAAAGAACAAAATTATTTTTCTCTGTGTATAAATAAATAGGTAGAGAGAAAGGGAGGGAGGGAGGGAGGGAAAGAGAGAGAGAAAGTTATTAGCGTGTACTTACGCGATGTGTCAAAACCGGTGATGAAGTCCGGACATGGTGCGTACACGGTTGATCCCGCTAGAGTGTCCGGCCAACAGGACCACCCATCGAATGTAAGCCGGCAATATGGCTCTGAAATAGAAATTCGAGTAGGCAATTACAGCGAGATCGTAGGCAACGATGACCTCGTAAAAGCGTTCGTTACGTTTGACAGCGTGCCGGGATTAAACGACGATATGTAACAAGGCGGCAGTAATCCGCGGCATCGCGAAGAAAGAGAGAAAAAAGAAATATATATATGGCATCGCATCAATCACCACGACAAATTGGATAAATCTTCTCGCGCGATTTACGATGCGGTCGTAAAAGGCAACCCTCGCTGATATATATTACCTACTTATTACTGATCATCGGAGAATTAGAAGCATCTACGGCGCGTAGACGTGCGTAAAATCTTCGCATGGACGGATTCAACAAATGAAGAGACTGCCTGTAATTTTCTCCAAATTACCGGGAACGTACAAAGAAGATTTCTTTAGATTTAGTACTTCTTTGTTACTTAGTTTGCTTGATTTCGATTTGTTTGAATCAACAAAAATAATTTTACATCAAACAATGTAAGTTTATATTAAATATTATCTTGTTTTATTAGATTAAATTATATTGTTTAACGGAGAGAAAATGCTATTATTCAAAGAAAGTTTCCCACCAAATTATATATATACATTTAAATATATAAACATTTAAAACAATAGGTTTTTTCACGATCACCTAATCAATGATTCAACGAACTAAAATTTTAAATATAATTTTAATCTTTTAAATTATATTAAGGTTATATTTTAAATTTTAGTTTGTTGGATTAAATCATGTTATGTAATTGTGAAAAAACCTATTGTTTTAAATGTTTCGTTTTTCAATCTAACCTATTATTTGTACTAATTAATATCATATTTGGTTAAAGATTAAAAACAAACATTTCGTCGCGGACTCGCTAATGTACATTCTGTCAATATTCGTTGCCATATTAGCTGTGGTTGCATTGTTTCCAACGATTATCAATATGCCTAACATAAAAAAAGCTCTTTGGACATTATAAGGATACGTCGTAAGCTTAATACTGCAATTCTATCGTCAAAGTCAGTTGGCATCACTAATTCCTATGCGATTGTTGAAGTCAAGTAAGTCAAACTGTAGTCAGTTACAAGGATGGGTGACTACATCACGGGATGATGGAGTATTTCGATGGAAGGTCACGGCGGAAGAAGGGCGCACACAATCAAATAATAAACAGCTAGACCGTCAGTATAAGACAAAGAAAAAATGTCAGGTTTCTTAAGATCATTTCAACACAATTATATCGAATTATTTTAGTAAAATGAGAACATAGTGAAATAATAATTATTATTATATAAACAATAAATTATTTAGCAAAATGATAAAATTATTTGAAAAGCTAAACAATCGTACTTATTGATTGAAACATTAGTTTCTTTAAACCATTCCAATGAAGTTTGTTTAGATGCAATAAAATTTATTAAATCCAAAGAAATCTTCTTCTAGATAATGGTCGTGTCAGGATAATATTTAATTAAGAAATAATAGTCTATCAAGTTTATCTGCCTGCATTCTTTATGGTTGGAGTACAACCATAAAGTACTGTAAAATATTCAGATTTGCAAAATTTTTCAATAAACTGATGAAGTGAATTCGAAAACTACCCATGAATTTTTCCATCAAATAACTGGAAACATGCACTGGAGATAAAACGACTGTTGGATCTTGTATTCGCGTAACTCGAGATAGATAAGAGTCACATCGAGATGGTGTCCGGCTAAGAAATAATCGTCTTTCTTGAGTTCATCTACATATAATTTTTGTCATTAGTCCGAACGTACGTGGTAAACGGACGGAGAACTAACTTTCTTAGTGGCTCTATGCACCGCATTAATGCGAAATCACGTTTGAGGGATTCCACCACTCGGCTACGTGCTCGACGAAGTTCGCATTTGTTCGTGGGACGCGAAGTTTCGGAGAAATGCTGATACCGCGAATTTCATCCGAGAGGAACCTCCATGCGGTTCCACCGCAACTTTTATTGAAAATAAATCACTTTCTTCCTTCTTCTTCGCGACTGCTCCATGAGAACGACTCGCATATACGATATTATGCCGAAAGAATGACTGAAGTACTCATACGGAGAACATTTTCCGCTCAAGTTTCTCTGCGCGAGGCAAGATAACCGCACATTTTGCAAAGTTAATGTTACAGAAATAGCGATGGTAAATTTTGCCGAGACGAATGTTTACGTTCTCAACGATAAAAATTTCATTCATCTGTGCCCGTCACACAAACATTTACACAGATGAGGCGTAGTAACGGTCCTCTTCTAGCGCATTGTGCATTTACGTAAGTAAAATAGATATTGGTTTGGCGAGCGTCTTACGTCAGAGTCTATTTTAATCCATATACATTTTGGAAACCCTTAAATCTTCACGCTTGATGGAACGGCTTTTAGGTGCGATCAAAGGGACTGACTTATGCATCTCGGGTTCATGAAGACCGCGTTCCGATCGAACGCGTCTTGGGAGTGACTTAAAATATTACGAAATATTTCCGCGTGCAAAATTGATCTGCACACAGAAAAATATTTTCTTGAGAAAAGCGATTATTCAGTTTGCTTTCCTTTCTTCTTTCAAATAATGGTTATCTTCAATAAAGATTTTTTTTTCGATAATAGTCATAAAATATCCTCATCACAAATTTGAGAAAAACTCATTATCATGTACTCCAAGGAAAAATTCATATTCTCTTTACGAGAATATTATAAAACTTTATTAAAGGAAAAGTTGGTTCTACTTTCTGCAGTAAGCAAACTGTATTTTTGTTTTATATTAATATTTTTGCTAAACTTGCTAGGATTAAAAATGTATTCTGAATAAATGTTATGTTTGTGATTCGCGAATGTATAAATTTATGAAATACTCTAGTAAAAAATTTTAACGTTGTTTAAAAACAAAATAATGCTCAATATTGTAACAAACCGCATTTAAAGAATGTTGTTTAAAGAATGTTATCAATTATTTTAATCATTATCAATTATTTATCAACTATTTTAATTTTGATTTTTCAGCAAAATACTTTTGAAATGTTTCCTTTACTTAAATCAGGTAAACAATATTTGATTTAAATAAAGAGAATTTAGATTTAAGTAAATATGTTAATGGCACCCATCAAAAAAATATTTGTTGATTTTAAAATAGTTTTTCCCTTGGTGTAGCAAAACACCGCGTCTCTTAAACCCAGGAAAAGATCTATATATTATATCTTTTAATACTTACTAATAAAGTTAGGCAAATATTTTTGCAATCCACAGCTGCAGAGAAACTCTTCAACTTTTTTGTCGCTAGTTTTTTGTCTTACAATATGTTCGCGCACATAAGCCCTTGTCCACAACCTTGCTTTAAGACGTAAGTCGTAAGAAATTGACCAATCATGGTTGATTTTTAGAAGAATAATCGACTGTGATTGGTCAATTTCTTACGGCTTACGTCTTAAAGCGAGATTGTAGACAATGGCTTTCTCGCGCATAATCTCGTAGAGAGTTGCGTCGTTGTTGAAGTGACCAAAGTGACAGTGGCTCAAGATGAACGAAACTGACAAAAAAGTCGAAGAGTTTCTCTGCAGCTGTGGATTGCAAAAATATTTGCCTAACTTTATTAGTAAATATTAGAAGATATAATATATATATCTTATCTGGATCCAAGAGACGCGATGCGTCCGTCGAGCGAAATGCCTCCTGTCTAAATCATTCCCTCAATTAAAATTTGTGAAAAATTGTTTTCGTTATATATATTTAATATTTTATGAAAAATATTTTATGAAAAATATTTTATGAAAAATATTTTATGAAAAATATTTTATGAAAAATATTTTTTAACATTGATAACATTTTTACTAAGTGATAAACTAGTTTTAACAAATTATCAAAACAAATTTGGATGTAAGTGTCGTTTTACGGATATATCTTTTTACTTTCAATGTATTTCGCAAGAATTTTTAGCATGCGTTTCCTCGTTTCTGACGTTATTAAAAAGAGATAGACGAATGCTCAGGAGCCTTAATAATTATCTATAAATAAATTTGTATAAACGAAAAATATAACTGAAAAGACATTATTTAAGTTTTCGTCCTTGTTTATATTTAGTCTATTTTGTATTTTTCCAAATTTATTTGAGTAATGAATCTCGTTCCGGACTTCCATAAATAGTAAATATATTGAAGCGCCTTAATGTGTTTTTTTCTTTGGCAGACAATCTTTTATTTATAAATTGTTATCACGTTATCGCACAGTGAATAATAATAAAATGCTGTACGTCGTCAGTTTAATATATCGTTAAAATTGGAACGTTAGAATTATAACTTTGTGCGCCAGTCAAATGTGTAAAATTAAATATAGACACCGCTGTCTTCAGTAGTGAATAGGTTCTTATCGTTAATTTTTCGTTACAACAATAAAATTCTGTTAAAGTGTCAGGCTGTTAAATTATAAGAACAAATAGGTTCTTATTTGCTTTATTATTTTCTATTATCAAGTGATTTTGATGAACTGTGTCCGAGTTGTAATATATTATTTCAATTAATTGGCGATTGACGCAATTCAATTGCAACTACTATTAGAAATGATTGCAAGAGAATAACATGACTCCTAGAATATCGAAGATGATTTTGCAGAATACAAGATACGTGGATAAGAAAAGCACAGTGTATTAGTAATATATCTATATCTCGGTAAATAAACACAACCAACTTCGATTCTTTACACTGACTATACAAGACCGAGGAACTGGTATATGTTTCTCCCACTTAGCGCTCATCTCCTCCATCGAGTGTCTTTCCTTTGACGGGAGAAGTCAGCTTGTAGTGCCCAATTGACCGTGGTATGCACAGAAGACTGTATCTCGTGCCGGACCTCGATAAAAAGCAAATATCTTGAAACGCGATCAGTGTGCTTTTTCTTTTGACAGATAATACTTGTTGGTGTATTATTATCGCGTTGTTATCGCACAGTGAGTAAAATCAACAGCAGATTCTGCTGCGCTGTATGCTGTACATCGTCAGTTTGGTGTATTGTGCCGTTGAGTTCGGAGCGTTAGAATTATAGCACTTGTGCGTCAGTCAGATTGGATGTGCATAATATACATAGGCATCGCGGTCCTTCAGAAGCCAACAGGTCGTATTTCCGTACTATTTTTTTCAATAACATAAAATTTTAACAAAAATAAAAACAAATACAAACACATTCGTTAGTTCCTCCTTGAGGAACTCTAAATTTCTTCAGGTAAAACTTCACTCGAAAGTGAAAACCGTGTGATAGTCGGGTTACTTGAATTCTTCACTCATACAGTTTGCTTCGCTTAGAATCGACGAACGAGTCAGAATTCACTTTGAATTTCGATAAAACATTCACTCATATGATTAAAAATAATATAATATTTTGACGCTCTTTCACTCGTTCTGAAAGAGATTTTATTCCTAGAAATGTAAAGCAAACGTCTTGATACATTTGCATCTAGTAGACACTAGAGATTCGCAAAGAGATCCGCAATAGCCATTTTCGGTCGGAAAATGTGAATGGATTCAACATTGTCCTATTTTGTACTGGAAGAAATAATTTTAAAAGAGAATATAATCTTTTGGTATAGGAGGATAGGATAAAATATACATGCATATAGATACTAATAATTTTTCTACTACTTGCTCATGAAGGAAATTCTTCGAGGCCAGGACTCGCATAAGATCTAATCAGCAATTGTAACATATGATACAATAATGCCATCTAATATGGCACGTGCAGAAGCAACGTGAAAACATAAAAAGAAGAGAAAAACGTTAATTTGTCTGGTATTCACGTGGAACAAAATTGATGTGTCATTGAATTACTCTTGCATCATAGAGTCGTCATGTAAATTTTATCTTTCAAGGTGCACAAGAATATCGAACATAAAAAGCATCAGAGATATAAAAAATTCCTATAGTATCATATTTCTCATTAAAAATTTCTCATTAAAAACTTATTAAAACTGATTACTACAACTTGATACAAACTGATTATAGATCTTATGCGAGTCCTGGCCTCGAAGAATTTCCTTCATAAGCAAGTAGTAGAGAAATTACATATCTATATGCATATATATTTTATCTTATCCTTCTATACCAAAAAAAGATTATATTCCTTTTTAAAATTATTTTTTCCATATATTTGTAATGAAATTGAATCCAGAAGAGGAAAAGAGATAAGCAGTTATATCATTTTACCTAGTCATATAGATTTTATCTGACAGATGATCAAACATTAAATCAGATAACGCGTCATGAGCGTGTAATTATCAATATATATCATGGTTCTCAATAATTTTTCGAAACGTAAGAAGAAAACACCAAAAGTAATTATATCGTAATATTTTTATTTAAAGGTAATCTTATTTAAAGGTGGATCTTATTTCTTAGCTCTCTCCGTTCACTGCGATTCAAAGAATTTATTTTTTTTCGTTTTTAATTTTTTTATGCAGATTGACATTTCTTTGTATTTCATTTTAACTTATTATGGGAGTTTCAATCGGATCTGCATCGTCCACTAAAACGTTGTAGTTCTTGACCTTTTTTGACGGTTCTGGAGAGAGAAGAAATTCAATTTTTCGTTGAGATTATGTCATCGTGCATTTTGCGAGTTAGATTATGAGCGTGCGAATTATTTATTAACCACCGAAATGTTTAACTGACTGCGAATGCTCTATTTGTAAAAACAAGATTACTAAAAAGGACGTAAAACAGGTCGAAACGTATTATTTGTAATATATTTTGAGATTATTAAAAAATTTGTTTGCACTTTTACACCTGTGCCTAGGCTTTTATACGCTATTTTCTCATTTTATTTTAATTTGATTTTACATCTACATCTTTATTTCGATTTCACTTTCGTAATATTTTCTTTTCATGACGGATTTGCAGATGCAGCTAGGAGCGTAACTCCTCCGGAATTGAATAGTTACAGTGTGCACGTACACACATACACAAAAATACACACACCGCGTGTAGTAAGAGATTACGTAAGGTGTGCTAAGGATCCTTATCTCGAATGTAAGATTTGTTGAAACACGGGGAAGCGATTGATCTGTTTAAGTCAATATGAAGGTACTGTCAATTCTTCTCGTGATCTTGGTGACCTGCGACCAAATTGCCAATGGATACCGGATTCTTGGTTTATTCCCGCTTCATGGCCCGAGTCATTGGGTCATGATGCAACCTCTGATGAAAGGATTGGCGCAACGTGGTCATCAGGTGGACGTGGTATCGCACTTCCCGCAGAAGAAGTCGATACCGAATTACACGGATATCAGTATATTAGGCAGTATGCACGCTACTCGGAATAATATCTCCGCGGCGGAGGCCAGTACATTCAGCGGTTTCTCCATGGCGCACTTGACCGACATGGCCGGAACTCAGATTTGCGAATTGCTGAGCCATCCGGCAATACAAAATCTGATCAAGAATCCGCCGCAGGATCCTCCCTACGATATTCTTATTACAGAGGTATAATCAACGCGCAAGTATGATCAAGTTTCATCTTTTTTTTATTTCATATCTTTTAATAAACTTAAATAATGAAAAATAATTTTTTTTATTACTTAGTTCAATTTATTTCTTCATTAATTTTATTAATTTCAATTTTATTTTTAAGTTCGTATTCACGCGTATGTCGCAAGACAACTTCTTAATCGCTTCGCGTCGCAACTCTTAATTTTCTTTCTTGTGCGGTCGGAATCGTACTACGCAGATTCTACGAAGGATTTCGCGGACTTTTATTCAGCGTAAACGCGTCGAGACGATCGAACTGGCAAGTAATAATATCTTAGATGCGCAACTATTCGTTGCTTATATATATATTAAACTTTAATAAGACTTTGACATTTATTAATTCTCCCAGTGACAATTAGGGTTATTTGTGTTCGGACTGTTCTAAAAAGTGCTTGTTTTTCAAAAGTAACTGTTTAAAAATCATTAATAAATATGCATAAAAGATTACAATTCACTGAATTTGTTAAAATTGATATGTATTGTAAAGGTGATAGTAAAGTTAGAAGTAATTTGCAAAAATAATTAAGTGGAAGGGACGACATTGGTTTAGAGGATATAACAAATTGAAATTTGTTATATAATTTTAATGCTTTTTCTTAGGTATTATAAGCTGTTTTAGGAACAGTAAAACTTTCTCCGACAGGAGTGAAACTAGATAAAGATCGAATATCTGTGGTACAGGTTATATAAGTCTATACACTGGAAAAAAACAAGATCGAGTAAACCGAATCAAGTAAACAGTTAAGCACTTGCAAAAAAACGATACTTAATATTGAGTCACAGTATGTTATAAGCGAGCGTAGAAAACAGATGAGCTATCAGTAAATGGTATAAACTAACAACTTCATACGTGATAACTGCGTTTCACTTGAAGATATTGTGAAATATATTAACGAAGTGTATTAATGTTTTTGCTTGAAACTAAATCTTATTACAACGGAAAGTATATGTGAGCAATCGATAACCCGCTGCGATAGTAAACATATCAATTCGGTATCATTCAGACACTTAATTAGTAAAACTAGATAAATCACAAGCGGACTGAAAGCAAATACTCGTCCTCGTTAAACTAAAATTATTATCGCTTTTAACGAGACGTTAATTGACTGATTTCTGCCATCTCCCGTGTAACGCGGTAAAAGTGTTGATTATGATCAATTAATTAATCAATCTTTACTCGTCTCTTTACTCGTCATTCGTCTCTACGCGTTCGTTAGCTCACAAATAATGCAACATCAGATTTTATTGAAGACTGAACCGCAAACTTCCAATCACTTTTCAGTCGAGAGAGAGAGAGAGAGAGAGAGAGAGAGAGAGAGAGAGAGAAGGAGACAGAAAAAATAAGTTCTTGATGACAATAAGTGCAGCGTCAGTGTAAAGCCATTAATTTTAATGGCTTTTGCGTCATACTAAGTTGATATTGAAGTACCAGTTTCCATGTAATAGTGTATTGCGTCAAATTGCACATGTTGCACGGCAGTCAATTATTTTCGAAAATAGTCGACTATGATTGGTATTAAAAAATTAAAGAAAAATTAAATCTATTCAACAATTTGATGTAGGAAGACTAAAAAAAATTAATTAAAAAATTTAGTCAACGGTAAAAGGTCAATAGAAACTGAAATGTAGTTATGTGGACACTATAAATGTTCTTTCAATTAAAATCGCTGTCTCACTGCGATGGATTCTCTACAATAAGCTATAAGTAATAACCGCAATAATTTGCGACTTGCGATTTATGACTAATAGCTTATTATAGAGAATCCATCACAGTGAGACAGTCGGCTTATTCAGTCGGTAGTCTGATACAGGCTTAAAACGAATCTTAAGATGAGTCTCTGAGTTGAGTAAATTTTATTGCATCAACTATAATCGAATCAAATTAAAGAAAAATCAAATCTGCTCAACAATTTGATGTAGGAATACTAAAAAAACTAACTAAAAAATTTAGTCAACGGTAAAAGGTCAATAGAAACTAAAATGTAGTATGTGGACACTATAAATGTTCTTTCGACTAACGAAAAAAGTCAATCCAACTGCATAATACAAATAGTTTTGTCTTTGAATGTGAAAGTTAAGTAAATCAGAGAATAAGTAAAACTACTAAACATAGAGTGGAACTCTAATGACTTTGATAATCGAACGTTTGCAAGATTTCTTTAACTAAAAGAAATCATTTCAATATTTTTTTCAAGATTTTCGAATCGATTACAACGTTCTGATACAAAGTTCTGATACATGACTCGACGGTTATAGATAGATTGTGCTATCTATTTTGCTCGCTTACGAAAGATAAATTTCTGTCGTGATAAAAGCAAACAACTTCCTTTTGAAATCTATAATATGCGACTATATGCCCTGCCTATATGAACGTACAAATCTACCCTTATTGGAGGAGTTTTTTCTGGCTTTTGGCATCGTTAGCTATTATAGTTGTTTTATTGTTAAACTAAAATTATTAATTTTTAGGTAATAAAAATGCATATATATATATTTTGGATAATGAAGATAAAGATGTATATATTTTTAATAATAAAAATAAAAGTAATAGAGAAGTTGATTTATAAAGACATTCTTGAAATCACCGATCTATCACGGTATATATTACTTAGAGGAAAAATTAAGTGAAATACTACATAATTTATTTGGATAATGTATGCAGTTCATTCAACTTGGGAATAGAGTCAAATTAAACTTCTTACTCGTCGCTACGATTCGAAAATTCATTTGATTGCCATTAGTTTTCAGAATAGTCAAATCAACATCGTGATTAGTCCATTTTACTGAATATTTAGCTCGTTTTATATAAATGAAAGAGATTATACGAACACTAAAATGTCGCTGAAAGAATTAAGGCAATTGGTTAGTCATGTATAATCCAATTAAGTTTGCTCAACTTGATTCTCGTTGTTCCAATCGATTTTTGTTTCATAATGTACGAATCTTTAGGCGCGGGTTGGGCTGTGAATTTTTGGCCCCAATATACATACTGTGCGCTAAATAAAAGGAAAATCAAGGACTTTCGTAGTTCACTACTTAACGCGACTGACAGCGGAGCTCGAACTCTCGCGACAACTATCGATGCATCATTTTGAGTGCGAACTTTTGGAAAGTAACGCGACAACGGAACACACTGAAGCATGACTCACGGTTCCGATGCGCACGTGTATGTACGAGTGTTACATAACGTAACGCGAGTCGTGCGAGTTCGATAACGCTACAACGACAAATAATATACTGCGATAAACAGCGGTACGATTCATGAAAATGTGATGCAGTTTATAAATTAGAATTATTTAATTTTATTTCACCACTCACAGAATTGTTTTGATTGTTTAGATATATATATTTTTGAACCTTTTGACAATGTTGGATGAATCTTTTATTTAAACAAATCTGAGTTATTTTTGAACAAACTCTATTTCAGTGTAAAGGTAGTTCTTTGAAGCAATTATAAGACCGATACGATACATTGCCGTTAGTATTTACCTTCCGATTTCAACGATAAATTATTTCGAGATAAATCACTTGTATCATGCAGTTAGATTGACTTTTAGATAATGAAAAAACATTCATGTTACACAGACAACGGTGTTTTATCAGGCTTTTCAGTATTGATTAAATTCTGTAGCTAAAACTGTCAGATTGTCGATCAGACTCGGTTTTTATTCAGTTAAGTCCAGTTGTGTGCAATTTGTGCGATAAACTTTACGTAACCCTGAGATTTAATTTTTCTTGTCTGATTTTATTTCAATGTAACGCATGGAAGTATAGAGTTTTCAAGACCTATACTATACACGCTTTAAAATAGCGTAACTTAATTTTTTTACAGCTGAAATTTGCCATCGTAACGATAAGATTGAACACGTTATTGTTATATCAACGTGATATAAGTCAATTTCGCGTAAAAACAACAGTTCTTACGACAGATTCGCTCGCGCGTATTCACCCACGTTGGCGTGCACTATAAAGTGAAATGATTGTACATACGGGCTTTAGGGCCAGAAGGAGAAACAAGGCAGAGCAGAAAGTGCAACTATAACGAATAGATATAATGGCACGTGAAATTGCCGCACTCAGTGCAACAAAGTGCGAGCGCGTTTGAATCTCCCAGTATAAATTGTACGGTACTTGTTGCGCGATGCAATCCGTCTCATGTCATACGCGTATCTATCATCGGTATTAAGGGCTCTCTAACGAACCTTTATTTGTTTTCGAACGCGCCGACAAATCGCACTGCAAAATTCAATCGTGCGTTAATCGCGTGACTCGCCGCGTGCGAATTTTGCTCATCTCGATACGATATTACCGCGTCACATTGAATCACGTATGAAATATAATTAATGGAACATGTAGAAAGAGCATGTAATCTGAAAAATCGCTTATACGGCCGATAGGAAGCCAATAAAACGAAGTGACAGATGTGTTTCGATTTGCATTCATTTACCGTATCTTTGGTAATTATTTATGGCTTATTAGTTAACTGTGAACGTGTCGAATACCGTGACGGTCACCGGTGATCGGTACTATGACACTACGTCTCATTAAATCACATGTGTAGAAGTTTAAAAGTAAAAATGCATGCAGTTTGCGTAGAGATCCCAGTCATTGTTTTGTGCTAATGTATGCTAACTAGTTGCAAAAATACTGCATAGAAATTGACCAAGAACTTGTGGAGTTTTATTCAGCGGTTAGAGCAAGTCACTACACAGTATGTAAACCGATTCTTTCCAAGACAAGATAGTGTCAGTAATGTTAAATAAAAATTTACGTTGTATTGGTTGCACAGAATTACAAATGCTCTTGTACAGTAAAAACACATACGAGAATGAATTGGAGCATTGCTCAATATACAAAAACGATACAAAATTTTAAAGTTGACATTTTCAGTAGAAATTAACCTGTCGATGCAATCAACTAAAGTAAATTATTCGCCTGATACAAAAGATCCGTAGCTTGTATATAATTAAACTCACGAGTTCGTTTCGTTCAGAAAAATTTCAGTGAACATTGCTGTACCTTAATACCTGGATTTAGAGGCTTAAAAATATCGGAAAAATTTGCAAGAAGATTTTTACGTATGCGTGGTTAGGTTTCCCGTTTTTGATAAAACAAAGCGACACACGTTTACGTAAGATGTATTTGTACGAGAAATACGAGAAGGATAACGTGATTGCCTTGGTGAAGATCGTCTCTACGCATCGATATTTTTTCAAGTTGGTCGTCCACGTAATCATCTCTTTGAAATCCTCACTGATCATCATTGATATTAATAATTGATATTAATAAACGATATAAGTGCGTCATCGTCATTTGAACCATTTTTCCGTCGTATATTTCCTGACAGATCGTCGCGTTTATTTCTATCGTCGCTGTCGTGATGCAAGTGTCATCATAATAGACGACCAGTCGCGTTAAGGAGGCTAACAAGTGCGGCTCAACACGAACGCATCTCCAAGTAGCCGTTGATTCATCCACATGCGTAAAACCTGCGCATCTTCGCTCAATGCGCGAAACAAAACGTGTCTCGACGATAACAGCGATCGCGAGCGATTAAGAAACGCGACTCGGCGAGTAATTAATTAATCGATGGACCGACGGATTGTGCGTATATAGGTGTTCATGGCACCGTGTTTCTTGGCCTTCGGCCGTCATCTCAAAATCCCGATAGTCGCCACAGTAACCAGCGTCTTCCATGACTGGCTCAACGAGTTGTCCGGCAATGTGGCCAATCCCAGCTTCATCCCGGGCCTCTTCTCCACGTACGGGCAACACATGAACTTCGAGGAGCGTCTGCTCAACTTTCTGATGTCACACATGATCTCCGCACAGATCCACTACTACACGAGCTTCCAGGTGGAATACGTGAAGAAGCATTTCGGTATCAAAGACGCATCCATCATGGACCTGTACGGCGACATATCCTTGTACTTGGTCAACTCACATCCCGCGTTGCACGGAATCAGACCGTACACCTCCGCTATAGTCGAGGTGGGCGGTTTGCACGTCAAGGATGACGTTGATCCACTGTCGCCGGTACGTTTGAACAAATTGGCTTTCTCAATTATCCGCAACGCGTATGTCCCAGAGCTTTTCCCGGGTGCGATGAGGTGCGACGAGAATCGAGGCGATTTATCGTTAGTATCGTTGCGAATGCAGCTCCATTTGTCTCCTCTTCGTTCGACTCGAGCGGGAAATGGGATCAGGAGACTTGATAGATGAAAAACGGCCACTCCTTCACACGAACTATCAAGTTTGCCGTTTAAATTGATAGAATGTGGAAAGGATCAAAACGGAGGGGAAACGAAAGGCATGTGGGCTTTGCGGCTAAAGGTTAAAAATTGTAGTAGATAAAAAACGCGCGTTTCCGACAGAATATTTTTCTTTGACCCGCACGTCGATAACAAAATATGCGCTGTTTATATCAATTTAGACATTCACGTGGAAATTCTATTGAAATTTTCTGAAAATATCGCATTGATTTCACTGACGTTGGTTATCCGTGCGTAAAAGAAATATAAAAATATGTTGAAAATAATTATTGCAATAACCGTAAGAAAATACCGTATATTTTTATCACAATCTGACGAGATCTCTTCTTTTATCGAATTCAAATATATCTCATTGTGAAAATTCCACGCGACATACACACACAAAACACCCTAAAGAGATTTTATTTAAAAAATTTTTTCCAAGGAAAATATCAAAAAGAAGCCGAATGACATTTTCTTTTCAGAAATTTTTTTACTTTGAAATGTTATGCAATTGAAAATCTTACGACAGCTCATTGTACCCGAATAGGATTAATCGCGAATTATTCATTCTAAAGGGGTTTGTCTGCAGGAAGTGCAAAAATGGCTAGACGAGAGCACGAACGGCTGCGTGTACTTCACGTTCGGTTCTATGGTGAGGATCGAAACTTTCCCTAAGGAATTGATAGAAGCATTCTACATGTCGTTCAAAAAGATCGCGCCAGTTCGCGTGCTGATGAAGGTCGCGAAAAAAGAAGACCTACTGCCAGGATTACCGAGCAACGTCATGACACAATCTTGGTTCCCACAAATCGCCGTCCTCAGTACGTAATCACAGTTCGTCAGAATGATAAATACGCTCATTTCTTATTAATCGTTGTTAGAACAGCCATTTGTATGCCGTGTGAATTCTCGCGCGTTTTGCGCGCGCCGGCATTTGCATATAAATCGAGTAACTTCACGAAAAATGCCACTTTCCGACAAAATTCTCGCTCGATGAAAATTTCGCGCGAAATTTTTAACTTCTTATTTATGACGACGCGCGCGCGCGCGTTCGCTCGGCGAATTTTCGAAAACACGACTGCGAATCAAGTGAAATTAGAATCGTAACTTGCGAGGAAAAGCAACAGACGCTCTGTTTGTAATTGGAAAGAAACTTAAATCATTCCAACTGCGCTTGAAAAGGATAAATTGCGAGTCTTGAAAATTAACGTTCAATAATGGCGTCACGTGTCGTTGAGATTTATTCTTGAAGTATCCGAACGTTCGAAAGCGTCGCGATCATTTATTTGAACGAAAGGATACTTTCAGCTTTAAGGTACTCTCTTAAAGTTCAATCAATATATTTCTCTCACTGAAATGTGTCACTTACAAATGATAGTTCAGTTATAATTTTAGCGCTGCAATCAGTAGAGTCTCGCTGAAAGTTTCAATCAGTAGTAACGAATGTTCCCATTATTAATACGTTCCGCGAACCTATTATCTGTGATCCTATTATATTGACTTTGTAAACACAGAGACAGTATCATGTCTCTGCAAGATGCATGAGAGCTGTTAATTTCATCGCCGCAAACATAGAAAATTGGATTTGGCTACAGCGTACAGCAAATTGTTACACTACCAACTTTAGCACTAAAGTCTTACTTCTATTGTTTAAAATCAGTGAAATGTAAGACAATTCAGTGAAGTGGAAGTGTTTCTACCGAAAGTTAACGAATTCTCACTGATTATTGGTAAAACGCCCTTTTTATTGATCTATTCAAAAACATTCTTGCTAAATCACTTTAAGAGAGCACAAATACTGATACCCAGATACATATATCTAAGCTTACGCATTCTCATTGTTTTGGTCTTCAAATACAAATATTTAAACTTTTAATATAAAAAAATATATATATACACATATTAAATATATATATACATTCCATGTTGAAGAGAGAGATTTAAATATTCTATAAATCTATAATGATCTAAATACATTTAAGACTTAGAAGAACAAGAACGTATAGGATTAGGTACGTGTTCGGGAATTTGTACCTTCGTCTTAGATTATTCAAATTATTCCCCTACTTATTTTTTTTCTTTGTTTCTTTGTTCTATATTCGTCGGACGCCAGATTGTGACTTTTTTGCACTGAAAAACACATCGCTCTCGAATTCTTGCAGAACACAAAAACGTACGAGCTTTCATCACGCACGGCGGACTAATGGGAACGCAGGAGGCGATCAATTACGAAGTCCCTATGATCGGCATCCCTCTGTTTGGCGATCAGAGTGTTAACATAAAGTCCTACGTGAAGAAGAAGGTGGCTATTTCACTGAACTCGATAAAAAATGTCACCGAGGAGAAATTAACGTCGGCGCTGAATAGCATTCTGAACGATCCTACTTATCGGTGAGTATTCGAGGCGATGGATGCGAGGAAGCGAAAACGTAAGCGTCACACCGTCATCCTGTTGCTAATCGTGGCGTGTTTAATGGAGATTAATGAAATCATAACATTGATTGTGTCGTGACCGCAAACACACAGAATGTGCTACATATAGAATCTCATCAGACAGAGGCAGATAGTTTCAGACAGTCGACATTCCAATATTTTTGTATGCAAGTAGTTACTCTCTCAGAAATCATCATAATGCGATAACGTTGTATAAGAGGAAATTGGTCGTAGTTGTGCAAAAATAATCCAACTCATATAAAGTACGTCTCGAGAAAAATAAAGATGAAAATTTGACGCATGATTTAACTCTTTACTTTCCATTTGAATCACAATCCAGTTTTCTCGTTATTTATCTCCAATATGAAAGTTGTTCCTGTCTTGATCGACGTGACGTGAAAGTTACAATATGACTGTCTTTTTTTAGTATGTTTGCAGCGACAGGAACTACTCAACATAACCTCAAAGTCACAAATCTATTTTGGGAAAATAAAAAATTAGGAAAGTAAAATTTCACTTTATATATGTTGAGTACTTTAGTTTTAAACATTCTAAGTACAAGAAAAATTTGTTAAACATAAGAAATTAATTTGAGCAGTAGAGGGTTAAAAAGATAGATGGCACTCTCTGAGGTCCTTTGCAGTCGTTCAAAAAGTCAAGTATGGTTCAATTTTTAATAAGTTCAATTTTCTTCCCTATCAGATATTCGTTAAAAAGACGCAACAAGTACAAAATGTTGCAACTAGTAGAAGATGAAGTTTTCAATTAATTTTAGACGCCCATAAAGCTTGAGTCTTTTTTGTTTCATGTAGAAAGATGTAGGGACTATCTATTGACAAAAAAACAAAACCTCAAAAATCATAATTTTATGAGTTGAATCATTTTGCATAACTATGACCAATTATGTCTTTTTGCTATATTCTTTTTTACTTTCTTCCGTCTATCCCCATTGCATTCTCACTTATCATCCGTTATTTACACGTATATTTTTCGATTTTACTCTAATTTGTTTGACTCGTTTAACCTCATGGTCGTAAATTTATTTCCATCGGCGAATAGAATAACTTTGTTTAGCGAGAGCAACGCGACTCCGCCTGGATGTAAGTTAATGCAGTAAAGTTGTACAACCAGCGGCCACATGTTAAAAGGACTTCAAAAGCCTCGAGGCTCGCTGCTTTAAATCTTATTAGCCCGCCCGCGGTATCGATCCGCCACCGGTTGCACCGTTACATATCGCGGAACAAACAGAGCGTGCTCGCCATTGAGTCTTGCTTAACTCCCGAATAACGCATATCGCGGATCAACTCTAGTCAATCGGTATGTACTTTAAATTCCACAGATCGTTTTTTCATCTACGTGAAATCCACGTGGAGCGCATGTTCCACGAATAAGAGCGCGGGAATAAAGGAGGAAACACTTTATCTTCGCGGCACGAGAGTAGAGGAAGAGAAATACAAAATCTAGTGGAACGTTTGACGCGCTTTTCAGCGCGAGTAGATACCGAGATGCCGCTTGGCATTGGACAGACCGTAGCCTTGGTAACGCTGGTGAAAACACGTTGTCGATCGTGTGCTCTCTTGCTTTCGACACTAAACGGTCTGGTATTTCGCGAAGGAGCGCATTCGATTGAAACGGGATCGAGGAAATTGCGTTCTCAATTTTTTTTTTTTGTCCGTTATTTTCTCAACCAAGTCTTCAAGACTTTCACCTTCATTTTATGATTCGCTGCCGGCCATCCCATGTGCACACAGAAAAATGCATATTGCATTCAAGTAAACGTTATATCAAGTATGTTTGTTTTAAAGTTAATGTTTCTTCTAATAGGCTCTTCTAAAATTCATTATGAGTATATTTTGAGACTATTATAAAAAAAGTATATTTTGTTGAAGATAACTATTATTTGAGGGAAAAGAAACCAAATTGACTGGTCGTTTTTCCCCACCCAGCAAGAATGACGTTTTTCTGTTTGCAGACAAATTCGGCATGTACGAAGTAACGATTGCATTCGTTAATCAAGGAATGTTATTGTGTCACCGTTAATTATTTGTAACGGATACAAAAAAAAAAACAATTGCTGTCACGATTCAGTTATCGAAAACGTTGCTGAAAAAAAAAAAAAAACGTGTAACTTGCAATGGTAACAACGTTACAAGTAAAGCGTTACTTCCCAATCCTGCGGCTGAATCGATTTCCCGCGAACTCGTCTCTCTCTGTTGCTCGTTTCAGCGAAAACGTACGGAAACTCTCGAAATTGTTCCGGGATCGTCCTATGAGCGCCCTGGATACGGCTATCTACTGGGTGGAATACGTCGGAAGACACGGAAACTTCCTTCAATCACCAGCCATACAGCTCCATTGGTGGCAACGTCACTTACTAGACGTTTACGCCTTCTTACTGTTTGTGATAGTTGCGGTGCTTTTGGTCGTGCTGTTTATTCTTCGGAAGCTCAAGAGGCTCTTGTTCGGATCGCACGTGTGCACAAAGAAAGACAGTGCGGCGATCAAGTCGAAGAAGAACAAGTGAAGATAACGGAAAGCTTCTTTAGAGATTTTATACACGACCTTCTGTTCGCCATTTGCGAGAGAGACAGAGAGAGGGAGAGAGAGAGAGAGAAAAAGAACATAGAAACGAATCATTAGAGAGAAAAAACATTTCTTTCTCTCTTTCTTTCTCTTTTTCTTTCACTCTCTCTCTCGCTCTCCCCTTCCCTCTCGATATCGTGTATATGTAGTGTTTTAATAAAGTGTACTTTTAATTGATTGTATTATATAACAAGTGTAGTTTTGCCGCAATATACAGTATCGTATTAATTTTCACGTGGAATACACAATCGTGTTATCTGCGTTGCATGCGCGCATATGTGTGTGTGTGTATGTGTGTGTGTGTCATATCGACACATGCGCGCTATATCACTGATATTTTCGTTTTAGGATGTCTATCACCACTCGAAACACCGTGCGCACAGACTCGTACACAAAATCTACCGATCGATCGGCAGTTGAAGTGCGCGTTGACAGATATTTTTAATCTGTTAATGGAACTATACGTAAGCTGTTATAAATTGGCCGGTTTATGATAAGTTTCAACGTGACTGTGAGTTTTTAGTTATTGAGTGGCGAGATAAAGCAAAGTGGCTCCGATAAAATCGATATTAAGACGATACTCGCGGCGCACAGATACAAGGGCGTCGCTTATCCTTCGCATTCCTATATTCGTGATTTTCCCTCCCCCTTCCAGGAACCCGGGGGATTCCTCTCTTATTTTCAAATATATATTTTATATATACAGTGTGTCCCATAAGTTCGGCAACGGCAAGAAAACTCGGCGGGGGAGCATTTTAGAGAAAAATATTTCGAATAAAAGTTGTAAGGCTTAAAAAGTCGCATTTAATGACAGTAGTTATTTAACCTAAGATGACGTCGCCAAGGTCAGGACAAGGTCAACTTTGCTTTTTTAGATAGAAATACATATTTTTTATTACGGCATTTTATTTTACGTGAAAAAGCAAACAATTTTTGTTTGAAAAAATTTTTTATCCGACCTCTATTTTCTAAGATATTTACGTAAATATCTACAAAATTATTGGTTTCAATAATTTTTTACTTGAATTCTATCAACTTTACCGAAAAATATCAAGAGATAAAAATTATTTATTTTGTTCTCATAGAGCTCTGAGAATTTTTTCAGAATTTTATATTAATTTTTTAGTACTGCATTTTCTTGCATTTTCTTGAAGTACTAAAAAGTTAACACAAAATTCTGAAAAAATTCTCAGAGCTCTTTGAAAACAAAATAAGCAATTTGTATCTCTTAATATTTTTCGGTAAAGTTAATAGAATTCAAGTAAAAAATTATTAAAACCAATAATTTTGTAGATATTTACGTAAATATCTTAGAAAATAGAGGTCGTATAAAAAATTTTTTCAAACAAAAGTTGTTTGCTTTTTCACGTATAATAAAATGCCGTAATAAAAAAATATGTATTTCTATCTAAAAAAGCAAAGTTGACTTTGTCCTGACCTTGGCGTCATCTTAGGTCAAATAACTACTGTCATTAAATGCGACTTTTTAAGCCTTACAATTTTATTCGAAACATTTTTCTCTAAAATGCTCCCCCGCCGAGTTTCTTGCCGTTGCCGAACTTATGGGACACACTGTATATATATATATATATATATATATATATATATATGTTTATTTATTTAGATACTTTACCCGGTAGCGGCGTCGTGTTCATAACCCTCATCTTGAAACATTCTTCCCTGCGCTCTACGATAATTCGATGGAGATCCTCGTCTAACAGCGTGCTGCCCGCCGTCGTGTTCCCCGGCATCTGTTCGGCAAACGACGCGTAGAATATTAATGAGTTATAATGGCAAAAGTAAAGGTAAGAGTAATAAATGTCTGGTGCACGTCGCGGCATAACTTGAGGCCACGTTACAACTACACATATCCGTCACGATTCACGACTAGAATGGAAACTCGAGTAGTCATCGTTATAATAGTTCACAATAACAGAACTATGTGTCTCCGGAGTTGGGATCTCTAGAAGAAATATATCGCCCAAGATGCCCTATTTTAGTGTAATGATCTCTCTCCTTGTGTGTACTATAAGTATACACAAATAAATTGTAATTCTGAATAATTATATGGCTAAAAATGGAGGAGTTCTCGGAAGTCGGTGAGTGGTGCACGCATAGATTGTATGCATCTCTATTGTCAGTTGCACAGATTGCGTAGAACTACAGATTACGTATTTTTCAGTTTTTCTGATGCAAACTGACGTTCGTATGTCGGACGTTAAATGAAAAATGAATTCCTCGCGCGGAATCTTCGGACGCAAAATAACTGGTACGAGTTGTGTGAAAGATATTTTCGCTGAAATTGTGAATTTCAGCATTGAATCAATTCGCAAGCATTATATTCCACTGGCGCGCTCTATATATTTTCTGTGCCCGCGTCCGCGAGCGCGTATCACCGCGCGATATCCAGCGCAACACTCGACAATTTGCCGATTATTCCGTAAAAGTTATCATCGCGTTGTAGTTTCGTCGCGCGAGGCATAACCGTTTGCGAAACTTCGCCGGACGGATGCAGATCGACGGCGTGTCGTGGAAATTTCAACGCATTATTGAGGAAATCACTTCATTGAACTATGACGTGGCGCGCAATAACTTTATTGCATAGAAATGAACGTTATTGCGTCCGGTCGAGGTACTGCGACATGAAATAATGAAGCGAAGCGTTTTACGATAAAGCCGTTTTGCTACCGCGCGTACCAAGCGAGAAGAAGAGTGCGTGCGATTCTCGAATCGAGATATATCTGTGAAAGTTTGCTGCACGAATAATTGTCACGCGTTCAATGCGCGACGTTAATCATTCCCGACGATGGAATTTACGTCGAATAGGGCTCGAGCGTGACACATGGACATTAATTATAATGGAAAACGTATTTTTTCTTTTAATGAGATTTCCGCCAAACATTGTGCACTGCCTTCAGCAAAATATTGGAATTAATGGGCGGAAGCGATGGAGAAGCTGTCGGAAAGCGTAATAAAAATGATGAAGGATTACATCGAGATAAGGTATGTAAAATATCAATGTAAAATGTAATATCTCTGATAGACAAATGAAAACTTTACAGCAACTTTAAGGTATCTTGAGTCACGAAATGTAGCAACATTTATTCCCTTATGACTGATCAGATTGTAATCATATTTACGGACTACAATGATGTCAATGATGAATCATATTTGTAATCATATTTACGGACTACAATGATAAAATAATAATGCATATAAAATCAGTATATAAAATTAATCAGTATGTAAATTAAAATCATACAAATAAAATTTACTTAAAACAACGTGTCAATAAATGTATTCAAAATTTGTTGCACATTTGACTCATATAAGTTAGAAATTTGACATATTTAATAAAAATTTATATTACGTAATAAGTGAAAATAATTTAACTTTTTAACTCATATTTATGTTATATTTTTCCATAACAGAATTATTCATATTTACTTCACATATCCCTTGTGTTATAATTATTTATTAATTTTAATTAATTATCAAATATAATATGAATTTGTAAGTTTGTTTCTTCCCCGATAGACTTCTATGACGATCGCAATATGTGATAATCAATTTTTGTCCAATTTACGGAAAATTTATGTACGTAAGAGAGTTAAATAGATTTACCTGAAATGAACTACAAATTTATGTAATCGATATATCGATATAAACATGCGTTTGTGTCAAATTTACGTAAAATTCATTATTCCTTTATTCGAAATAGAAAATAGGTAAATGTGAAGTAACAAATGTATTGCGGAATTATTAGAATGAAGGATTTAAGTCATGGCATTACATAAATATTGTAGTAATAAGATTGTAGTTCGTTTCAGGTAAATTTATTTAACTATTATATGTATATAAATCTATTTAACTCTCTATACGTACGTAAAGTTGTCATAAATTAATTATCGCATACTGTGCGATTATCATAAAAATCTATCAGAGATGTTACATATTTTTAACTAATTTCAGCAAAAGGAAGTTCTCAGTTTGCACAGTCTGTATGTTTGCATTGTAAAATTTAGGGAGTACAAAAGGAAAGCCCGGAATAGCTTGTAGAGGGATAACGTGGAGTTCGCTTGGTGCCATTTCCTCTGCCGCTACGTTTGATCGCAGACCGCCCGTAAACCGTTTCCAAACCGCGGCGGACAAACACGCCTCGGCAAACGTCGTGATAATTATTCGCGAAAAATCGATGTTCCTCACATCTCATAAATGTGACATGGTAGTGCCGCTAAATCAAACAGCGCCGGTAAATAGCGGAGCGGCAATTAACATTCAATTAAATGCGTCCATGGGTCCGCCAGTGGATTCGCGCATTTAAATCCTATTGCAATTTCTCACGCTGTAAGCCGAAAAAGCGCGTCGACTGAATTTCACGTACAGTAATTCCACACCACCTGAGCGAAACGAGATATTCACGCGATGAAAAAAACACCGCGCGCCCCAAAATCGATGCAAAGCAAAGAAAAAGAACGGAAAACAATGCTGCGCCGATGGTCGCAATGCGAGCGAAAAAAGCGATTGGAAAGGGCGATTGAGAGCGCAAGAGCGCTCTCTCACGGCAGTTAGAAGCGCCTCATTGAAGATTTGCGAAGGAAATCGGCGAAGAAGCGTCGTCGATTGTTCAGCGAGTCTGACAACCGAAAGAGTTGAAGCAGTCATAACGTAACGCCCAACTTCGTCGCGTTATATCTCATTACAGTCGTGAATGAATATTACCGTAAGCTGACAAAGTGCACCGAAACACGCACGGATATGTGATCAGTGGAAGAGAATGATGGCGAAAACCAAAGGAAAACGAAAATAAAATTGAACGAGATTAAAACCGAAAGTAACTGAATTTCAATTACGGAACAAGCTCTTCTATTTTAAAACCAGCCCAGCTGCCCCGCTAACTCAATGCCCCGAGGCAATCACACTCTTTTGGACTAGAAAAAAAAAGTGAGGGATGGAGGGAAGCAGAGAGAGAGAGAGAAGATCTTAACCCATATTCCACCGCACTGTACATTTCGCGCTAAACACCGGCCAATACGCGCGTTTTGCGTTTTATTCAATTGCAAATGTATTTTATAGTAAATTGCGGGATGAATCAACTGCAAAAAGCAAATGAACATACTTAATTATAAATGACATGCCTTTTGTTCGTGTTCATATTCACACAATACATTCAGCGTTAAATGGGGCTATTCGTCCGTCCGAATTTGCCTTCGTGGCAACGTTATTGCCGTTATTATTACACATTACGTGTAACATATTTAAATTAAATTAAAGCAATTGCGAAATTAAAGAAAACAACAACAGACGTGCAACTGTAACAACATCAAGTAAGAAAAACATAAGTCTCTCGGCATTTCGAAACGATCATAACGAGCTGACGAAATGAGTTCGTTCGTGAAACTCACGGAGCACTCTCACGTAAGAATTTTTATGAGCATAATAAATTTCAATAAACACTAAACGCATACATCGCAGCGGCGCGCACAGGCCACAGACACGTGTTCCAAGAGTCACGCTCTTACTTTACATCAATGCTGTCTAAGTTTATGGATAACGTGCAATGCATCGCGTACACGAGCACGCTACGGCGGGCATTATGAACTTCCAGAAATTGACCGTTGCTTTTAGCGTTTAAACGCGCTCGTAATGCCGCGCACACATACACGAGCACACGCGCGAAGTTGCTATCAAGTTGCTGTTCCCTCGCAAATTTCACGAAACCGACTGCACTCCTTTTTAACCCTCTCGCACCTGTCGTTGCTTTAAGACAACGCATACTTCGAATCGACCCACACGCCAAACTAATCGATATTTTTCGTCGCTAAACTGTAAAACATTGGCAACTCTGTCTCTCACGATTCTAGACGGAATTTTAATCTTATCACTTAGCTGTAGTAATAAAAATTAATAAATTGTCGGCATTCGTCGTCTATCCACTTCGACGTTTGCCATTCCATAAGTAATCGCAATTTACATGCAATATTTGCATTTACTTATTATAAAAATGGACTGTATAAAATATTCTCGTGCATTATTACGATGTATGAAAAATAAATGAATTATTATGTAGAATATAGTTTATATTGAAAATAATGCAGCAAATCTGGGCTTGTTTCTCTGAAACAACATTTTGATTCCTCCAAAATGGTTTATTGGAAAATTATGGAAAAAATTAGATATCATTTTACATTACTAGGAACAATAATGAATTGAGAAAAAATTGTTCTCGCGAATAGAATTAATTCAGGGTTGAAAGAGTTAAGCTCGATGCTAATGCAATTAGTCGCCGCGGAAATTCAAAAGAGATGAACGAACTATAAGGATTGTGGAAATTTATTCATTACATTAATGGCACTCTGTGCATCCCATATTGGAAAAAATCCAAATATGGCTTACCGCTCTTTTTTTTCTTTATATATCTCCAAATGTTTGAACTTATATCGTGGGTGAATGTATATATAGTATTAAGTAAATGGGATGTCTACTTTAATACTTGTAAAGGGGATGTTGTTAAAACTATTGGATTTTTAATTATTCACACTTTTTTGAAAAGAAAGAGATTTGCACTGTTTGAAAAAGGGTCCTAAATATTACCTTTGTTACCTTTGTAATATTTTAAAGTAACAGAATTTTAGGTAAAAAAACATATTTTATACTTTATTTGTCACAATATTCGTCGACAAGAATCGCATACATAATCATCTTACCATCGTGTCATTGTGCCTCTCCACAATCATTGTATACATAAAGA